TAGCCACTTATCTACTTGCCAGCCTGTTTGCCAATTGCCCTCGGTCGGACTTGTGACTTCCTGAGACTTACTTGTTGATTTTGCTTATTAGAAGCCAGCAGGGAGTTGCAGTGAAGTCCTTGCTTAATGACAGCAGCAAGGACTATTGAAATTGCCTAAGTGATGTAGTCATGTGATACAGCTAGTCCTCAACTTACGACCACAATTTTATTTTTATTTTTTATTTTATTTTGAATTTATATACCGCTCCTTCTCCCGAGGGACTGAGGGCGGTGTACAGCCAGATAAAAACATTCAATACAAACATTAAAAACAATTAAAGGAATATATATTAATTTGACCCCAGTTTAAAATGACAAACCAATTAAAATGTTTAAAAATATGTTAAGCCAGCCTGGCTTGCTGGAAAAAGAAACTTTTAAGGGCACGGCGGAAGGCACCGAGGTGTTGGATTCTCCTTATAATTGAGTCCAACATTTCTGTTGCTAAGTGACTTTGCCTTTGAGAAGGGTACAAAAGGGGATCACATGACTCCAGGACACTGTAACCATCATAAATATGAGTCAGTCGCCAATATCTGAATTTCGATCACATGACCATGGGGATGCTGTAATGGTTGTAAGGGTGAAAAACGGTGGTAAGTCACTTTTTCAGTGCAGTTGTAACTTCAAACATTCACTAAATGAACTGTTGTAAGTTGAGGACTACCTGAATTGCACTTTACTAATGATAAAGGTAAAGATTTTCCCTGTTCAGTCATTTCTGACTCTAGGGGACGATGCCCATCTCCGTTTCTTAGCCGAGGGAGCCAATGTTGTCCGAAAATGCTTCTGTGGCCTGGTGGCCAATATGACTGTAGGCTGAGGTGTGGTTCTTAAGTGAATTCGGCTTTTCCATTCACTTTACCTGTCAGAAGGTCACAAAAGGGAATGACATGATCCCAGGGTACTGTGACCGTCATAAATATGAACCAGTTGCCAAGCGTCTGAATTTTAATCACATGACCATGGAGATGCTGCAAAGATCCTAACGGTGAAAAACAGTCATAAGTCACTTTTTCCAGTGCTGTTGTAACTTTCAATGGTCACTAAATGAGCTGTTGTAAATCGAGGCCTACCTGTATTTATTGTCATGCATACTGCTGGAAAGTCCTTTGCACCTGGACCCAGGTTAACAGACGTTCTCAAAACCAGTTTAGGACCAGTTCTGAAGACTTTTTTGGGTTTACAGTTATAACAAAGGCTAACTAAAGAGAACTTGTTCCAAAATGGAATCGTGATTGCAAATACATTTTTTCTTCCGTGTTGCTTTAAATTTGGGCTGTAAAATGCTGTTCTGGCCGCTGAATTCTGCAGAAGGAAGCAGGGTTGGTTTGGAGATCATTTTACAATCAGGTTGGTCAAACTTTCCAAGAAGCTGAACGGGTTAAAAGCAGAAAGTTCAGCAGCTAGAGTAGATCCAGAAATGTAGAGTCCTCTTACTGAATTCCTTTTCCTGTAGCTCCTTTGGATAAAACTTTGAGTTTGGTGTTGCCGTTCTTGAATTTTGCTGGGCGAAACTCAACAGTTCGGAAAGAGTAAGTTAAATTTGAAACTTTCAGCAAAAGATCAGATCAGAGAATAAGAAATCCAGGAAGGGGGAGTGGGGGGGGAGGTTAAAGGGAAATTATCCTCGAGTAAATAATTTCTTTTAAAAAAAACTGCACCTATTTAACGCTCTCCTGGTAAAGGAGAGGATACAACAGTTGGTCCTTGCAGAGCTCACTATTCCTATAGAAAATTGAACCTCCATGTTCAAGCAGAGCACACAGCTCCGCAATCCAGGTGCGGGGAAAGGCATAAAAGGAGGGCGCGGAGGCGTCACGGGCGGGGGGGACAAAATGACAAAAAGAGCATCGGGGCTATTGAGTTGCAAGCGGCGTCTCTTTCTTCCATGAATCGTGACTCTCTTGTCATGTTCACCAAAGCCTCGGATTAACAGAATAACAGGAGTTGGAAAGGACCTTGGAGGTCATCTAGTCATTTAGCCGGAGCAGGGGGTTGGACTAGATAACCTCCAAGGTCCCTTCCAACTCTGTTACTCTTAGTCCAACCCCCTGCTCATACAGGAGAGCCTATATCATTTCCGATGGATGGCAATCCAGTCTCTCCTTGAAAGCTTCCAGTGATGAAGCTCCCACAACTTCTGAAGGCAAACTGTCCAGATGACCTCCAGGGTCCCTTCCAACTCTGTTACTGTTACTGAGTGGTCAGTGGGGCACTTGAGTTTACCTCTTTTTCTGGTGACTCATAGATTCCCTACCCAGTTGATTCAATTTCATTCAAACACTGCAGTTGTTAAGTGAATGCTACAATCATTAAGCAAGCCCATTGTTCACTAGGGATATAAGCATGGGTTTCTGGCAAAAATGTAAATCATGGTCATGTGACCGCAGGATGCTATGAAAGGCCACAACTGAAGGCTGGTTGCCAAGCACCCAAAATGTCCTGTGTCCCTGGGTGGAGGCCCCTCCCCCCCAGTCGTCAGAAGTTCAAATCTTGGTCATAAGTTGTTTTTTGAATGGTTGCTAAATGGCTGGTCGTAAAACGAAGACTATCTGTAAGTCACAGACTTGGTGTTGTCGCAGTTCTGTGTCTACCATCTCGACACTTATAGAATATCAATATTTCCAATAGCAATAATTGCAAGAGGGATCTTGGAATCCTAGTGGACAATCACTTAAATGTGAGCCAGCAGTGTGTGGCAGCTATGGGTCGGCCTAGGTGAGAGGATGGCTGCCCTGGAAACTTCCGGGGTCAAATGACACGCACCTCCTTCGCCACTGTCGTGAGAGGACAGTGGAGCTTGGCGGCCTGACCATAGACTGGAATTTTCCCTATGTCTGTAACATTAGTGGTCCCCCACCCTTGGACTTTGTCTCCCCTGATGATTATATGTATTCGGTGTCGGAACTCCTCGCCCTGCGAGATTCTCCCTTCTCGCAGGTTTGGCCCTCCACATTATCGAGGGCCTATCTCGATGACAGACTTTGGAGTCCGGAGAGATGGCATGGAGCAAGGAAGAATTTGTGGGATTTTTTAGGGAATTTTTTAAAGATTTTAAGGGGTTCTTGGGGGGGGGGTTGTAATAATCCTTTTAGAGAAATTGGGAAGACGACTATGGGGGATGGGGGGGGAAATCCACCAGGGTCAGAGCCGAGCCCGGCACAGGGGAACGATTTGGGGGGCACTGGATGAGGGATTGGGAAAGGGATGGGGGACGATACCTATGAGGGTTGTACCATCAGCACGGTAGATGGGAGGGGCAGCGTAAGACTAGTGTAGAGCTAGCGCTTATAAAGCAAAGAAGACATCTGAGCTGTTGTTTCAATGACAATCCTTTCCTCCCCAGCCAGTGTAAACGACAACAAAATCTTCTTAGATCTCTTCGCCAGCATAAAACTAGTGCCGTGTAGCTAAGAAGAAATCATAGTAGTTTATGCAAACAGGAAAGAAAAGGATTACAACGGAAGCAAAATAGGCCAGATTTCTTCTTAGCCCCACTAGTACTAGCTTTACATTAGTGTTGTGCTGGTAGAGCAAAGGCGAAATCTCATCTGTTTTGCTTCCATGGCAATCCTTTCCTCCTCAGCCAGGGTAAATCACTAACGATTTATGCTGGCTGGAGTGAAAGGATTGCCATGGAAAGAAAAGAGTTTATATTTCTTCTTGATTATGCCACGTGGCCCAGCTGACTTCCTGAGCTCGTCAGAAATTTCGTAAGTGAATGGTGATGGGGGAGTAGGGTTGGGCAGGAATGCATAGTATATTGCAAAGCAGGCCAACATACTGGAGTCTGGGGATTGTGAGGACTGACTGGGCAAGATGGAAGGGAAATTCCATCTTGCCAGGGCCTGGTGGCTCAGCAGACTAAAAGCATTGTGATTAACACCAGCTGTCTGCAATTACTGTAAGTTCGAATCTCACCAGGCTCAAGGTTGCTCAGCCTTCCATCCTTTCTAAGGTAGGTAAAATGAGGACCCAGTTTGTGGGGGCAATAAGCTGACTTTCTATAAATATACAAAAGTATGAAGGCTATTGCTTAACACATCGTAAGCTGCCCTGAGTCTCAGGAGAAGGGCGGCATATAAATCCAATTAAAAAAAAATAGGTGGATGGGTATGCTGCAGCATCTCTGCAGTGAAGGAGTCAAGGACCTCGGGGTGGGAGGCGCTGCAAAAATTCAACTTTGGAGCAGATTTGTACTTAGCATTTGGGGGAGTGTTGTAACTTCAGAAATTCGTTGAATGGCCTGTCGTACCTAAAGGATTACCTGTACTTCTTTTTTTCACATCTTCTGCAACCCTTTCATAAACAATAAAACTTACACTTTCTTTTGAATCTTACAGACAAAGATGATGCCAACATAAGCACACTGGACAACTGAGAATAACAAGGAACACTGAAAAGCAAAGCAAATTGAAGCAGAAATAAAAATATGTTCTATTTCCTTCAGAAAGCTACAGAATTCAACTACTTCATCAGCAGATAAGAGACAGAAAAGAGAAAATCATGAAGAGATTTGCAGCTGGAATAAGTAGATTATATAGAATTTAAGAATACGTTACTTGAAAAGGTCAAAGGAGATCATTTTTCCGTTCAGAAAAAGAGGGAAATATCTGGAAGCCAGTGGGGAAGAAAATGTCAATTGGATAGTCACATATGGCAGCCAGTAATGCAGGCACCAACAAAATAAGGAATCACACATATTTTTGACCTCCTCGAGAATGTCAGTGATGGAAAAGCTCCATAGATTTGCCTATTGTGGGAAAAAGTAAAGAGTTCAAATCACAAGAGGATCCACACGGAACAAAAGCCATATAAATACTCTAAATGTGGCAAAACTTTAGTCAGAATAGCTCCCTTGCGATTCATAGAAGGATCCCCATAGTAGAGATGCCCTACAACTGCTCCCAATGTGGTAAATGCTTTTTCAAGCATGGCAACTTTGTGGTACATCAGAGGACTCACACCAGGGAGAAACCATATGAGTGTCCAGATTGTGGGAAACGTTTCGGAGCAAATTCCCACCTGGTGAAACACCAGAGGACTCACACAGGAGAGAAACCCTTTGAATGTCCTGAATGTGGGAAATGTTTCAGTGAGAATTCCAACCTCGTGAACCACCAGAGGACTCACACAGGAGAGAAACCCTTTGAATGTCCTGAATGTGGGAAAAGTTTCAGTCAGAATTCCAGCCTGGTGAAACACCAGAGGACTCACACAGGAGAGAAGCCCTTTGAATGTCCTGATTGTGGGAAAGGTTTCATTGTCAATTCCAGCCTGCTGATACACCAGAGAACTCACACAGGAGAGAAGCCCTTTGAATGTCCTGAGTGTGGGAAAAGTTTCGGTCTCAATTCCAGCCTGGTAAAACACCAGAGAACTCACACAGGAGAGAAGCCCTTTGAATGTCCTGAATGTGGGAAAAGCTTCAGTCGGAATTCCCACCTGGTGTTACACCAGAGGACTCACACAGGAGAGAAGCCCTTTGAATGTCCTGATTGTGGGAAAAGTTTCAGTCAGAATTCCCACCTGCTGATACACCAGAGGACTCACACAGGAGAGAAGCCCTTTGAATGTCCTGATTGTGGGAAAGGTTTCAGTGTCAATTCCAACCTGCTCATACACCAGAGAACTCACACAGGAGAGAAGCCCTTTGAATGTCCTGAATGTGGGAAAAGCTTCAGTCGGAATTCCTACCTGGTGAAACACCAGAGGACTCACACAGGAGAGAAACCCTTTGAATGTCCTCATTGTGGGAAACGTTTCAGTCAGAATTCCCACCTGGTGATACACCAGAGGACTCACACAGGAGAGAAACCCTTTGAATGTCCTGTGTGTGGGAAAAGTTTCAGTCACAATTCCAACCTGGTGATACACCAGAGGACTCACACAGGAGAGAAACCCTTTGAATGTCCTGATTGTGGGAAAGGTTTCAGTGTCAATTCCCACCTGCTGATACACCAGAGAACTCACACAAGAGAGAAGCCCTTTGAATGTCCTGCATGTGGGAAAAGTTTCAGTCAGAATTCCAGCCTGGTGAAACATCAGAGGACTCACACAGGAGAGAAACCCTTTGAATGTCCTGATTGTGGGAAATGTTTCAGTGTCAATTCCAGCCTGGTGAAACACCAGAGGACTCACACAAGAGAAAAACTCTTTGAATGTCCTGAGTGTGGGAAAAGTTTCAGTCAGAATTCCAGCCTGGTGAAACACCAGAGGACTCACACAGGAGAGAAACCCTTTGAATGTCCTGATTGTGGGAAAGGTTTCATTGTCAATTCCAGCCTGCTGACACACCAGAGAACTCACACAGGAGAGAAGCCCTTTGAATGTCCTGATTGTGGGAAAGGTTTCATTGTCAATTCCAGCCTGCTGATACACCAGAGAACTCACACAGGAGAGAAGCCCTTTGAATGTCCTGAGTGTGGGAAAAGTTTCAGTGTCAATTCCCACCTGCTGATACACCAGAGAACTCACACAAGAGAGAAGCCCTTTGAATGTCCTGCATGTGGGAAAAGTTTCAGTCAGAATTCCTACCTCATTGGCCATCAGAGGACTCACACAGGAGAGAAACCCTTTTAATGTCCTGATTGTGGGAAAAGTTTCAGTGTCAATTCCTACCTGGTGATATACCAGAGGACTCACACAGAAGAAAACCATACGAGCGTCCGGATTGTGGGAATGATTTCAGTATTTCGTGTAACCTTTACACACAGGAGAGAAACCTTTCCAATGTCCACCTTGTGAACAATGCTTTAGGCTTAAATCATCTCTGATTGTTCACAAAATAATGCACATGTAGCAAATATTGAACAGTTTAGAGAAAGCTTGAAATTCATTTCTGATCTCCCATTCGGAGTATAGATGAGAAATTGATTATTTAAATTTTGGCCTGATTCTTTTTAGTCAAGAGATCTCAGGATTAGACCTGTAGGTGGAGAGAGAAAAATGGAAAATATTAGTTTGATAAAGGCTAACTACCTGTTTCTGATTATCAGCAGTACTTTCTGGATGTTTGCATTTACAGAAGTCGTTCTGCAAACAGGCCTTTGGGTGGTGTTTTTTGTATTTTGATTATGGAATTCCGACATGTGGAGTTTCAGCTTTCTATCTTGGTGAACTCCAGATTTTGAACCTCACAATTTCCCAGCCAGCATACAAGTAATCCTCGAGATACAACTGTGATGAGAAGTAACTATTATGGATTCATTTAGCAATGGCGACAGTGCTTTGATTAACTAACCCCATCCCATGCTGTCTGTTATGCAGCTATTAAATGAATGTGCAAGTTGCTAAATAGGACACTGGCTACCTCAGTGTTCGGGAAAACTCTCGGAGGCTTAGTCCAGGCCCAGGCTTCCCCGCTTCCCCCCAGGCAACCCTAGGACTCCTCCACTCCCCACCAGACACCTATTGCTCTGGTTCCCAACCCTTGATTCCCCCAAGGCATCCCTTGGCCTCCTCCATCCCCACCCTCAAGACAGCTATTGCTCTGGTTCCCAACCCTTGATTCCCCCAAGGCATCCCTAGGCCTCCTCCAACCCAACCCCTAAGACATCTATTGTTCTGGTTCCCAACCTTGTTTCCCCCAAGGGAGGGGTGAAATGCTACCGGTTTGCTCCGGTTCGGGGGAAGCCCCCCCCCAAGCCTTCCCACAGAGTAACCCCCTAGGCCTTTTCCCACTCCCCCTGGCTCCCTGCAGGCCTTAGCGCATTCTGTCACGTGGCCTTCCAATTACGATTACACCTTGCAGCAGCTGTTTAACGAGACTGCTTTGCTTAATTGCAGACTTAGGCTTTCCTTCCAGAGGCCTCCCATAACCCATCTCTTAGGTCTCCCCAGGAATTTCCGTCCCTCCCAGAGTCTCCCCAGGCCTCTTTCATAAAACAGGGTCCCTGTAGTCCTTAGGTCGAATTCCAACTCTACCAGGCCTTATAGAGACCTCCTCTTTATCTGAACCTTATATTGGGGAAGGAGGGTAGGACAGAAATCTCTCAGCTGTATGACTATTTCATGGAAGCAGCCGTTATTTTCACTGTGCCTGGGATTCATCGCTGGGCCCTGAGGTGGATTTGTGGAAGTGGCTGCCATTTTGCCACGACTGCCTCAGGACCAAAATGGCGGCTGCTTCTGGGTCATTGTCATGCAGGAGAGGGAGAAACTGCTCTGTTTCGCTACCTTAACACTGTGCAGAAAGCCTTAAGGAATTGTGGGTGCAACTGAAAATGATGGCTGCTTCCATGAGATCTTGAAAATTTACCTGTGAAATAGTGATGGGCTTGTGGGGAGTAGGCCCGAGGCCCAGTGAAAAAAAGCAGTGTAACATTTCAAATGAAAAGCTTTTCTGCCTTGCAGATGAACCTGGTGGAGAAGAGCTGTAGGAATACTGAGTTGAGGAGAAAAGGGATCGTGGCATTAATCACAAGATCTCCATGTTTATTAGCAACTCCTGCTGTGATCTCCTTTTCTTGGAAATGCCTGCTTGTTACCCTTTGATGGCTGCTGGATGACAGCACCACCATATTGCTGACGTACGTGTTTCATCCCCCTTTGAGTTGGTGATATGAGGGGAAAAAATGTACAATGGAAAACGTTTCATTTTTAAAAATGCATTGTGTAAGAACAAGTCTTTTGACAAGGAATAAATGGGTAGTGTCAGTATTGCTATGAATAGTTTGGTAAGGCAAGATGCTCAGACTTGCCTCAAACTGTGAGATGGGTAGCGAATAAATTTATTAATCAATACATTTAATAATAAAAAGGTAAGATAAAAATCTTTTATCAACTTTTGCTCAGTTGCAAGGTCTCCACACATATAGTAGTTTCTAACAAACTACCATTGTTCTTCTTGTGCATTCTGTATCTCTACGACCGATCTGTCTTCCTCAGCTTCCCCTCCCTCCTCAATGTAAATTTAAGTTTCCAATTTCAATAGTACACCAGTCCAGCCACTCTTTGTGGCATTTTTCAAGTATCACTAGACAGATTTCAAGGGTTTTTTTAAAAAATTAGTATTATTATGAGGGGTGCACCTCCTTATCCATAAGGTGTCTCCTTTTTTTATTTTTACTATGCTAATAATGAACTTTTCTGATTCTGGCATTTTCCAGCTCTTTCAGGAGGGGAAATACAGGGAGAAAAAATGTTTAAACTACATAGAATTCTCACCTCCTTTTGCCTCTCAGCATCCTTTCAACAAAACAACCCTCTGCATTTCTCTCTAGCCTCAACAACTCAGACATTTTCCACAAATTTATCTCTCACATCCTCAACACACAGGCATTCACAGGTCTCAGGATCACTTCGCCTTATCATTCCTTATGAGCTTAGATTCTGAAGCCATGATGTTCTTCTTCTGCCTGGAGCTCATTTGCCTTCAATCCTTCCCTGGAGGATTAAATGAAATGTGCCCTATTTTTCTGGATGTCGCATCACATGTCCGAAATATCCCAACTTTTGTTTTTTTAATTTTAATGGTTTTTTTTAATGATATAAATAGGTGACTCAAAAGATTAGCCAGATTAGCATTGATCCTCATTACTTATTTTCCAAGGGTGTGTCATCAACATTTCATCAAAAAAGGACTATGGGATAATGTATAGGAATTAATGGCTAAAGCTAAAATTTCATGTTCATGGATATTTCATGTTCATAAATTTTTTGGGGTTTTAAATCTGAGCCAATTTATTTAATTATTTTAAATTTTACATTGTTGTTTTGTCTGTGTTTTTAAATAGGCTGTACACCGCCCTGAGTCCTTCGGGAGAAGGGCGGTATAGAAATAAAATTATTATTATTATTATTATTATTATTATTATTATTATTATTATTATTATTATTATTATTATTATTATTATTATTATTATTATATTCCAGAGGAAAAATTGCCGACTACAGGAACCATGTTCACCTTTAACATTTGGAATTAACCACAGATACATTTTTTCAACTTCCAAAATGTCTGAATAGCTTATATTTAAGCATATACAAAAGAGCCTTTTCCAACTTTCCAACTTCTTACGTCCTCCCAGGGTTACTTTCCATTGCCTGATTTGGGGTGGGTGGGTGGGAGACCATAATATGATTTTTAAATAAAGAATACAGGGTTAGTTTTCTTTTTTCTGCTTTAGTCTTTAAAATTTCTTTGTCTGTTTTAACAGTATAATCAACCGAGAAAGTTACGTTCAAATTTTCCACAATTATAATTGATATTTTGTTAATAGTGGGGAAAGTAGTGCCTAAATTTAGGATAACTTAGAATAGGCAGTACATGGAGGTAGTGCTTAGTTAATGACCCCCGGTGGCACTGAATGAGGAGGATTTATGATCAGTCCTCAAAGTTCCAACCATCCCAGAATCCCCTAAACACCTGATTGAAATCCAACATATGGCAATCCGTTCATACGACAAAACAACTAGACACAAGGACAGTATTTCCCCCATGCCATCACTCTGCTAAACAATTCCACAACACTCTCTTATGCCCTCGGATGTCAAATCACATAGAAGGTCTGTATTACTATTATCCTTCTCATCTTTCCTATCATCTATTCCCTTAACATCTTATGACTAGAACTTTATTGTGTGCATGTTATGATTTATTTTGATTGCTTATTTAGTACCCTAATATGAGCCAGCAGTGTGTGGCAGCAGCCAAAAAAGCTAATACAATCCTTGGTGGTATATAAAGACGCATAGAATCAAAATCAGATGAAGTATTAGTACCCCTTTATAAAGCCTAATTAAGGCCACACCTGGAATACTGCATCCAGTTTTGGTCACCACATTACAAAAAAGATGTTGAGATTTTGGAAGAAGTGCAAAGAAGAGCAACTAAGATGATTAAAGGCCTGGAGACTAAAACGTATGAGTGAAGAATGGTTGCAGGATTTGGGTTTGGCTCGTCTAGAGAAAAGAAGGACTGGGGATGGGATATCTGCCCTCTGCTCTGCCCTCACTCCATATTGCATATCTACCTGCCTAGCCATGTGCTGGTGGTACCACAGCAGACGCTGGTGGACACTCCTTCGGTCGGACTTGTGACTTCCTGAGACTTACTTGTTGACTTTGCTTATTAGAAGCCAGCAGGGAGTTGCAGTGAAGTCCTTGCTTAATGACAGCAGCAAGGACTATTGAAATTGCCTAAGTCATGTGATACAGCTAGTCCTCAACTTACGACCACAGTTGAGTCCAACATTTTTGTTGCTATGTGACTTTGCCTTTGAGAAGGGTACAAAAGGGGATCACATGACTCCAGGACACTGCAACCATCATAAATATGAGTCAGTCGCCAAGATCTGAATTTCGATCACATGACCATGGGGATGCTGTAATGGTTGTAAGGGTGAAAAACGGTGGTAAGTCACATTTTCAGTGCAGTTGTAACTTCGAACATTCACTAAATGAACTGTTGTAAGTTGAGGACTACCTGAATTGCACTTTACTAATGATAAAGGTAAAGGTTTTCCCAGTTCAGTCATTTCTGACTCTAGGGGACGATGCCCATCTCTGTTTCTTAGCCGAGGGAGCCAATGTTGTCCGAAAATGCTTCTGTGGCCTGGTGGCCAATATGACTGTAGGCTGAGGTGTGGTTCTTAAGTGAATTCAGCTTTTCCATTCACTTTACCTGTCAGAAGGTTGCAAAATGGGGATCACATGACCCCTGGACACAGCAACAGTCATAAATACGAGTCAGTTGCCAAGGGTCTGAATTTTAATCACATGACCATGGAGATGCTGCAAAGGTCCTAATGGTGAAAAACGGTCATAAGTCACTTTTTCCAGTGCTGTTGTAACTTTCAATGGTCACTAAATGAGCTGTTGTAAGTCGAGGTCTACCTGTATTTATTGTCATGCATACTGCTGGAAAGTCCTTTGCACCTGGATCCAGTTTAACAGACGTTCTCAAAACCAGTTTAGGACCAGTTCTGAAGACTTTTTTGGGTTTATAGTTATAACAAAGGCTAACTAAAGAGAACTTGTTCCAAAATGGAATCGTGATTGCAAATACATTTTTTGTTCCGTGTTGCTTTAAATCTGGGCTGTAAAATGCTGTTCTGGCCGCTGAATTCTGCAGAAGGAAGCAGGGTTGGTTGGGAGATCATTTTACAATCAGGTTGGTGAAACTTTCCAAGAAGCTGAAGGGGTTAAAAGCAGAAAGTTCAGCAGCTAGAGTAGATCCAGAAATGTAGATTCTTCTTACTGAATTCCTTTTCCTGGAGCTCCTTCGGAGAAAACTTTGAGTTTGGTGTTGCCGTTCTTTAATTTTGCTGGGCGAATCTCAACAGTTCGGAAAGAGTAAGTGTCACAAGTAAATGCCTTATTCTCTAATGTGTAAATAGTATATGAACGGGATATCAGGGGTTAATTTATTCTTCACTTCTTAATGTATTCATACTTCACCACTCCCATACCTAGCTCCACCCATTGTATATATAAGGAGCTGCACACACTCTCTTCTTTGCTTCTATCTGTGAATATTCAGTGAATATAGAATGCCTTATGTAAATAAAAGAAAATATATTTGAACTCTTAACTCTCTTATAACTTATTGAGTCTGATCCTGAAAATATTGCAACAAGCTGGTAGCAGAGGATGGTTGAATTGACTCAATAAAAACTTAAATATGTCTAAGAGAGATAGGCCCAACACCAGGGCATACAGCAAAGAAATGGAAACGGATCAAGAAATAATAGATGAGTCCACAAATGCAATTTCGAGAGAATCCGAAGAATACACAACTGAAGACGAAGAAATAATAGATGAAGATGATGACCGAGAGGAAATTAAAATAGAAAACAACGAACTCAGGTCAGAAATATTAAAATTGTTAAAGAGCCAGAAAAACGATGAAAGCCTCATCGCGAACCTCCAAGACATGTTGAAAAACAGCGGAGCAGCGAGAGAGAAGCACATCGCTACCGAAAAGTCAAAAGACTCCAAAATAGTAAGTGATACGACTAAAGAAAAGAATGCTATAAAGAAGAAAAACGGTGATCCCGCGCAAAATTTTGAATGGCAGCCATCTTGGTTCCAACAGACCTCCAGAGTGAGCGAAGCAGAGCCAATCAGAAAACTTGATTCAAAATTTCTGGCGCGAAAGGCACTACTGGATAACGAAAACGAAAAAGAAAAATCAAACACCTCAGAAGAATCAGAATCAGAAAGTGAAGGTGACTCAACAGATACTCAAATAAAGTCAGCAATGAAGACGCTTTTTGCTGCATTTGGACCAAAACTAAAAATTACCAAAAAGTCAACCAGAAAACGAACGAGCAAGCCAACGTCTCAAAATCTACCCGCTCCCATCCTGACGACGAGAGCACCGATGCCTGAACCAAGAGAGCCCTGCAAATACCGTCCCACACCGCAGATCGATGAAAGCACCAACGCTCTCAAGAGAAGAAAAAGAACAAACGCCATCGTCAGAACCCCTAAGATCGAGCCGGAGACCGATTCATCTGAGGAGGAGCTGAACGAGCGAGCCGCAACGACGAGAACCTCTCACGACGACTCCAGGAACGAAATGAGCAACGCGCATGCGCGAGACTACGCAGACGGCCCAGGAAGACATGAGTTGCCGAAAGGACCCTGCAGACTCGTCGCGAGCATTCCCACGCCGTTTTGTAATTTTCACCATCTACAAGACCATGGACTACCTCCGGTTGTAAGTAATGGACCTAATAATGTCGAAAACTTGCCCAGTGACTTCCCAAAGCTGAGAATAGATGGCATTAATTTACAAGAATGGTATCAGCAGCTCCAGGTGGTCTTTATGAAAGAAAACTTACTGTTTTTCATCACTAATCCCCCAAAAAGACCTTGGACTTTAAAGTTAGACTGCTTACACCATAGAGCATTTTTCTTATTAATTTCTAGTGTGTCTCCTGCCATGTATCACAGTATTAAGCAAAATCTGACTGTCTCAGAAATTATTCAATGCATGTTCAATTTGTTTCACAGTGATAGTGTAGCTACTACCACAAGAATGTCTAAAGATTTCTTTTCTTCTAGGATAAAACCAGGGGTTTCCATAAGTGAACATTTAATATCTTTAAACAAAATAAGAGCTGAGCTGCATTTAAGGGGGGAGGTGATTTCAGACCAAACAATGAAAAGTGTTATCATCAACTCACTTGACCCATCATGGGACAATTATATGTCACATTTAGACACAATCAATCTTGGATATTTATCCATAGAAAGTCTATCCAATAAGTTAATAGCTGAAGACAATTCAAGGAAGAGCCGCTCTAACAATCACATAGAACACAAACCATATAGAAAAGTAGTTTTCCAAGAAAGATATAATGAAACATTCAGATGCCACAATTGTGGATCCAGGGAACACAATAGAAGAGATTGTCCCAAAATTACAAAAGAAAGACATAGGTCAGAACACAGAAACAAATACATCCATAGACAGTCTTCCATTGATAGACATAGATATAGAAGCCCACCAAATTACAAAGAATATAGAGGGGGTAGAGATAATTCAAAGGACAGAAAATCTGGTTCACTAAATGGACTAAACAAGCAAGACAATACTAACATACAGCAAACTGAGGATAATAATTGGCTTATTGATTCTGGAGCAACCAATCATACCACTAATAATAAAAACATACTATCTTCATTTATAGAAGATAAATTTGTAATAAAGGTAGCCAACCAAGAAAAGGTCCAAGTATTAGGAAGAGGAAATGTAACCTTGCCTGGTATAGGAAAAATAGAGGGGGTATTACTGATACCTGAGATACCTCATAACATATTAAGTGCCATAAAACTAAGCAGAGATTCTGA